CGCCAAAACACTCGAGACCATTTCGATCGATATTTGCTGTTTATCAGAAACCCGCCTGCAAGATTCGTGCTCCGTGGTTACCCTGCGCTCCCCCACATGCGACAATAGAGGTACAGTCTCATTGCACCTGTCTGGCGATGATGCAGCTTCAAATGCCGGTCAAACTGGCGTCGGCGTTGTTTCGAGTCCCCGGGATGAAGCTGCCCTGATCGATTGGACCCCAGTAAACAGTAGGATATGAGCATGTTTTAAGGTACAAGAGCCTCCCCCTAGAAGACTGAAGGGTTGAAGCATTCGATGGAGCTGTTATTGGGGGAAAACGGAAGGTGAGGGTGGATGCGAATATTTGCATGGGCTTAAGTAAAGGCTTCCAAGGTGGGGTGTGTAGCAGAGTTCGCTGGGTCTAGGCTTTCGTTAGTTATTATTTATGACGATCGAGTGGACCAGGGTGCATCATCGGTGAGCCGTCGGGGCAGGCTGGTCAGACTGCATAAAAAGTGATTAGTCTAGAGAAAAGGCCGACAAGACCCTCCCTTTGCTGCAGACCCGACGGTGCGCTTGGGAGGTGTCACTACCCCCACCGCACTTTAGTCTACGGTCCTCGTCCCACGAAGAAATCCAGGCTTCCTCGTCCCACGAAGTAATGAAGGCGTCCTCGTCCTACGAAGAAATCCGGGCATCCTCGTCCCACGAAGAAATCCGGCGTCCTCGTCGGCAATGCCTAGGTGGCGTTTGGGGACCAATCCGTTCATGGGTGTCTGCGGCCGAGGGCGACTGTCTGTTTCTTGGGTGAGGAAGGGGTCATTGGGTCGGCTGGCGAGTCAATCGGGGGTTGCGTTGAGCCAGTTGGCGAGTCAACCGTGGGTTGCCTGGGCAGTTCCGGCGGTTGAGTTTCTAAAAGGTAGAACTCAGAGGGGTTGGCAAGGGTCGGGGAAGTGGCTTGACGCCGGAGAGGGAACATGGCATGCATAATAAAAGCAAATACGCTTTTTAGGTTTTCAATATGGTTTACGTTTTTTGTCGGTTTTGCAAAACGTTTGTGGATGAGACGCAGGATAACAACTAAAGACGAAAAAGGCGTGTTAATGGAAATAGTAAACGTTTACAAAATCTGCAAAACGGACCGGACGTTTAACCAGTTTACCGCGTCGGTCGGTTGCCTGTGGTTGCGGCGGGATAGGTTGCGGGTCAAGGGTACGGAGGGGTTCCGGCTATCCAGTGCTCGGGAAGTCACCACAGGTGCGGGTGCTTGTGTGAGAGCATCAGGATGGGTTGCAAGTGGCTAGTCAAAGAAAGCCACTTTGAGGCGGTCGATGAATACCGTTGTTCGGTGAACCTTCTGGTCTAAAGTAAAATGTTTCAAAGTCCTTTGCAGAACTCTGAAGGTGTCAGTGTAGGGAGGCTGGAGAGAGCGCCACACTGCGTCAGTGCCGAGGAAGACGTGGGTGCAGGTAGAGAGTCCGCTGTGCGTGTGCATATCTCTAGTCTGTTCACGAGGCGTGATCGGGCGTAGTGAACGCGTGCACTGAGCTAGGGAGGACACAAAGTTAGGCGGAGGCATACCCGACGATGCGGGAGGTGAAACGAATCTTCCTGGTAACCTTAGCATCGTGCCGTAAACCAGCTCTGCTGGTGCACATTGCAAGTCAGCTTTGATGCTGCTGCGAATGCCTAAGAGTACGGGTGAAATGTTTTCGCTCCAGCTAGGGTCGGAGGAGGCGCAGCACGAGGTTTTAAGCTGTCTATGGAAGCGTCCAACTAACACGTTGGTTGTTGGGTGATACGCTGTGGTATGAATGCGGCGACAGCCTAAAAGTTGCAGAACGTAACGAATTGTGAGGATTCGAAAAGCGTTCCTCAGTCAGTCGTGATGGTAGATGGGCATCCGTAGTGCGAAACCTGCCGATCCAAGAAGGACCGGATAACAGTCTCAGCTGTGCAGTCTTACGGGAATGGCTTCTGGCCACCTGGTGAAGCGGTCGACACATCATCATCATTACACGTTAGCTGGAGGTGGAAAACACCTCAGCTATTGTGCCGCAATACAAAATAAAAGAAAAGGAAAACAGTGGCACGCCCGCTGAGTCCCCAGTAACGGATGGACATCGTTCCGGAGAGCTAACAGCTGGCTGCCGTAAAAGAAAATCGTATTATGCCTAACAGGTGAGATCGTGATTGGAGGGGGATACTAAACGGGAGGGGGATGGGCAAAGGAAATCACAACACAAACGCCATTGGTGCCGGCTCCGAGCCATATCAGCAAGTGTGTCCAACCAAACGTGTTCACCGTCCTTAGGACCCCAGCCAGGCAGTCGGGATGCACCAACCGACGCCAACTTCGAAGTGAGGGTTTTCATTTCTCTCGACCAAGTCATCACTTGGCCTCCCCTCCTCCTCTTCCAACCGCACCCACAACGCGCAAACAATGCACGTCGCGGGAGTCGGTGTGCTGGCATGCGCAACACGTGGCCCAGCCATCGGAGCCTGGTGCGTGATATAATGGTGCTGAGCGGTTCACTCGCTCTTCCTGCACCAAATACGCGACGTCGAACACGCTCATTGCTCACGCGGTGTTCCCACCAGACATGAGCTAAGCTGCGAAGGCAGCGATGATCGAATGTGACGAGCCTCTTCATGTCTGTCGACCTGATGGGCCAGGTTTCACAACCATAGTGGAGAGTTGAGCGGACGGCTGCACTGTAAACTCTGCTCTTCTGGGCGAGAGTGCTGTCGCGCCGGCGCCACAGGTGGCGGAGATTGGCAAAAGCACCTCGAGCTTCTGCTATACGGTTCGTGACCTCATCTTCAATCCCAAGGGTGCTAATATAGCTGCCCAGGTACTTAAATTCCTGAACGACTTCTAGCAGATCACCACCAAGCGTTAGCGCAGGGCTGGGTCCCTGCCAATCTTGGAGAAGTAATTTGCATTTCGATGGAGCAAAGCATAGACCAAAACGATTGACAGCCAGTGCTAATCGGTCCAGTGCTCTTTGGCATGTTTGGGGGCTGTCACAGATTAGGGCAATATCGTCTGCATACTCAAAGTCAAGAAGTCGCTCACCAGGAAGTAGCTCCACACCTTCTAGGTCGTGTCCAGCGAACGCTGTTTCCATGACTTCATCAATAGCGAAGTTGAAGAGGAAAGGTGACAGCGGACATTCTTGTCTCACACCGCTGGTGATGCTGAAGGGTGGCGAGAGTTTGCCATAAACCCTCACCCTGCCCGAACTATGCGCCTACAGCGCTTTGATAATGTTTACATATTTATCAGGCACAACTTTCCTCAGCAGACAGTCCCAAAGGGCACATCGATCGACCGAGTCGAAGGCACCTTTTATGTCAAGAAACACGACAAAGGTGGGTCGCCAATAAACATGGCGGTGCTCCAACACTTGACGCAATGTGAAGATGTGGTCGATGCAGCCCCGACCTCGACGAAATCCGGCTTGCTCTTCACGAATCTGGCTCTCACGAGTGCCAGTCAGTCTGTGGAGAATGAGAGAGGCAAGCAATTTAGAGGCAATCGAAATCAGACTGATCCCTCTATGATTGCCCGCATTCCAAACGGGAGTTTCCCTTGAAAATTGGAACAATGACGGAGCGGTTCCAGTCTGTCGGGACTGTCTCCTGCTCCCAAAGTTTTACTAGCAACTCGTGTAGATCATCTACTAGAGCAGGTCCCCCGAATTTGAAGAGGGCTGGGGGAATTCTATCTGACCCTGCGGCCTTATGCAATTTCAACAGCCGGATCTCACGTTCGACCTCTGCGCGTGAGGGCGGATCCGAGGATACGGCCCAAGGAGAAGGGCGCTCAATGCCCGAAGAAGAAAGCGATAACTCAGGTTTGTTAAATTGCCTTGCAAAGTGTTCAGCCCAACGCTCCAAGCGTTTGACAGGCTGTGGATCGGCTGCCCACTCTCGTCGCGTATGGTCTCGCTAACACCAGGTCTCCTGCTGCCTGTTTCCCGTATCAGACGGAATAACTTACGATGATTACCAACGGCAGCGGCTGTTTCCATCTCAGAGGCACGATGAGACCACCAGGTTTCGCGGTCCTTCCTAAGGCTAGCACGTAGTTTTGCCCTGACATTTTTGCGAGCCTCATTGTATTCGCATCCAGCCGGAATACGTCGACGAGCATCCATAAGTTCCATAGACTGTGTAGAGACCCAATGTCCGGTTTGGCAATTTGCTTTGCCACATGAAGACGCCTGCTGACAGTAACGTTTGACGAATATGCGACCAGTGATCTTCAAGGGTGTTTAGTGGGCGCTTACTCAGCCCAGATGTCAGTGCACTATGGTATACATTCAGAACATTTGGCTTCGCCAGCTGGCTGGTGTCAATCCGTCCACATCGACGTTGCGGACGTCCACCGAAACGCACCCGGAGGTCGGTACAGACAAGTGCGTGGTCAGAGTCCACGCTCGTGCTCCAAATCGAGCGACAATTTTGGACACAGCCTCTCCAGCGGTAACTGATCGCGATATGATCGATTTGTGTCCATGGTTGGCCCGTGGCTGATGGCCGCCAAGTCACGCTTCTGCGGGTGCTGTGTCGAAAGTTAGTGCTCGCGAGAAAGAGGTGAGCATCTTCACACAGATGTACCAATCGCTCACTATTATCATTACGCGAGCCTACACCACGTTGGCCGCCCAGATGAAGCTCATCAGAGGACAATTTTCCGACTTGGGCGTTTAGATCGCCAGCCAACACCACAGTATCCGTGCTTCTCCTGTGACGAAGGAGCTCGTGAAGTTGCTGATAGAAATCATCTTTTACCGATTCAGTGCTACAGTTTGTAGGGGCGTAAGCCGCAATGACAAACAGGGCACCGTTTAGTACACCTCCTCCTCCTCCTCCTCTCTTCTTCCTCCTCCCTCGACCTCTCCCTTCTTCCTTCCTCTTCTCTCCCTCTCTCCCTCCCTCCTTTCCTCCTCACTCTCCCCCTCCTCCTCTACTTCTTCTCCTCTCCTCTCCTCCCTCCCTCCATCTCTCCCCTACCCTTCCTCCTCCCCCACTTCTCTCCTCCTCCTTTCTCCTCTTCCTCTTCCTCTCTCCTTCCTCTCCCCTCTCCTCTCCCCCCCCCCCCCCCCCCCCCCCCCCTCCCCCCCCCCCCCCCCCCCCCCCCCCCCCCCCCCCCCTCCCCCCTCCTCCCCCCCCCCCCCCCCCTCCCCCCCCCCCCCCCCCACCCCCCCCCCCCCCCCCCCCCCCCCCCCCCCCCCCCCCTCCCCCCCCCCCCCCACCCCCCTCCCCCCCCCCCCCCCCCCCCCCCCCCCCTCCCCCCCCCCCACCCACCCCCCCCCCCCCCCCCCCCCCCTCCCCCCCCCCCCCCCCTCCCCCCCCCCCCTCCCCCCCCCCCCCCCCCTCCCCCCCCCCCTCCCCCTCCCCCCCCCCCCCCCCCCCTCCCCCCCCCCCCCCCCCCCCTCCCCCCCCCCCCCCCCCCCCTCCCCCCCCCCCCCCCCCCCCCCCTCCCCCCCCCCCCCCCCCCCCCTCCCCTCCCCCCCCCCCCCCCCCCCCCCCCTCCCCCCCCCCCCCCCCCCCCCCCCCCCCCCCCCCCCCCCCCCCCCCCCCCTCCCCCCCCCCCCCCCCCCCCCCCCCCCCCCCCCCCCCCCCCCCCCCCCCCCCCCCCCCCTCCCCCCCCCCCCCCCCCCCCCCTCCCCCCCCCCCCCCCCCCCCCCCCCCCCCCCCCCCCCCCCCCCCCCCCCCCCCCCCCCCTCCCCCCCCCCCCCCCCCCCCCCCCCCCCCCCCCCCCCCCCCCCCCCCCCCCCCCCCCCCCCCCCCCCCCTCCCCCCCCCCCCCCCCCCCCCCCCCCCCCCCCCCCCCCCCCCCCCCCCCCCCCCCCCCCCCCTCCCCCCCCCCCCCCCCCCCCCTCCCCCCCCCCCCCCCCCCCCCCCCCCCCCCCCCCCCCCCCCCCCCCCCCCCCCTCCCCCCCCCCCCCCCCCCCCCCCCCCCCCACCCCCCCCCCCCCCCCCCCCCCCCCCCCCCCCCCCCCCCCCCCCCCCCCCCCCCCCCCTCCCCCCCCTCCCCCCCCCCCCCCCCCCCCCCCCCCCCCCCCCCCCCCCCCCCCCCCCCCCCCCCCCCCCCCCCCCCCCCCCCCCCCCCCCCCCCCCCCTCCCCCCCCCCCCCCCCCCCCCCCCCCCCCCCCCCCCCCCCCCCCCCCCCCCCCCCCCCCCCCCCCCCCCCCCCCCCCCCCCCCCCCCCCCCCCCCCCCCCCCCTCCCCCCCCCCCCCCCCCCCCCCCCCCCCTCCCCCCCCCCCCCCCCCCTCCCCCCCCCCCCCCCCCCCCCCCCCCCCCCCCCCCCCCCCCCCCCCCCCCCCCCCCCCCCCCCCCCCCCCCCCCCCCCCCCCCTCCCCCCCCCCCCCCCCCCCCCCCCCCCCCCCCCCCCCTCCCCCCCCCCCCCCCCCCCCCCCCCCCCCCCCCCCCCCCCCCCCCCCCCCCCCCCCCCCCCCTCCCCCCCCCCCCCCCCCCCCCCCTCCCCCCCCCCCCCCCCCCCCCCCCCCCCCCCCCCCCCCCCCCCCCCCCCCCCCCCCCCCCCCCCCCCCCTCCCCTCCCCCCCCTCCCTCCCCTCCCTCTCCCCCCTCCCTCCTCGTTACATCCCTCTCCCCCCTCCCTCCCTCCCCTCCTCCTCCCCTCCCCCCCTCCTCCCCCTCCCTCCCCCCCCCCTCCTCCCCTCCCTCCCCCCCCCCTCCTCCCCTCCCTCCTCCCTCCCTCCCTCCTCGCCCCCTCCCTCCTCACTCCCTCCCTCCTCGCCCCGTCCCTCCTCACTCCCTCCCTCCTCCTCATCTCCCTCCTCCCCAAATCCCTCCTCCTCATCTCCCTCCTCCCCTCTCCCTCCCCCCTCCTCCCCCTCCCCTCCTCCCCCCCTCCTCCCCTCCTCCCCCTCCCCTCCTCCTCCCTCCCTCCCTCCCCCTCCTCCCCTCCCCTCCTCCCCCCTCCTCCCTCCTCCCCGCCTCCCTCCTCCCCTCCTCCCTCCTCCCTCCTTCCCTCCTCACCGCCTCCCTCCTCCTCTCCTCCCCCCTCCCCTCCTCCCTCCTCCTCCCCTCCCTCCTCCCCTCCTCCCTCCCCCCCCCCCCCCCCCCCCCCCCCCCCCTCCCCCCCCCCCCCCCCCCCCCCCCCCCCCCCCCCCCCCCCCCCCCCCCCCCCCCCCCCTCCCCCCCCCCCCCCCCCCCCCCCCCCCCCCCCCCCCCCCCCCCCCCCCCCCCCCCCCCCCCCCCCCCCCTCCCCCCCCCCCCCCCCCCCCCCCCCCCCCCCCCCCCCCCCCCCCCCCCCCCCCCCCCCCCCCCCCCCCCCCCCCCCCCCCCCCCCCCCCCCCCCCCCCCCCCCCCCCTCCCCCCCCCCCCCCCCCCTCCCCCCCCCCCCCCCCCCCCCCCCCCCCCCCCCCCCCCCCCCCCCCCCCCCCCCCCCCCCCCCCCCCCCCCCCCCCCCCCCCCCCCCCCCCCCCCCCCCCCCCCCCCCCCCCCCCCCCCCCCCCCCCCCCCCCTCCCCCCCCCCCCCCCCCCCCCCCCCCCCCCCCCCCCCCCCCCCCCCCCCCCCCCCCCCCCCTCCCCCCCCCCCCCCCCCCCCCCCCTCCCCCCCCCCCCCCCCCCCCCCCCCCTCCCCCGCCCCCCCCCCCCCCCCCCCCCCCTTCCCCCCCCCCCCCCCCCTCCCCCCCCCTCCCCCCCCCCCCCCCCCCCCCCCCCTCCCTCCCCCCTCCCTCCCCCCCCCCCCCCCCCCCCCCCTCCCCCCCCCCTCCCTCCCCCCCCCCCCCCCCCCCCCCCCCTCCCCCCCCCCCCCCCCTCCCCCCCCCCCCCCCCCCCCCCCCCCCTCCCCCCCTCCCCCCCCCCCCCCTCCACCCTCCCCCCTCCACCCCCCCCCCCCTCCCCCTCCACCCCCCCCCCCCCCCACCCCCCTCCGTCCCCCCCCCCCTCCCCCCCCCCCCCCCTCCCCTCCTCCCCCTCCCCCCCCCCCCCCCCCCCTCCCCCCCCCCCCCCTCCCCTCCCCTCTCCCCCCCGCGCGACTTCGTAGCACGGAACGAACCAGCTAACCTAACGGCGCACATCCTACTGTTTACCGGGATCCAATCAGTCAGGGCAGCTTCAGCCCGGGGACAAAACAATGCCGACGCCAGCTTGACCGGCATTTGAAGCTGCATCATCGCCAGACAGGCGCAATGAGAATGTGCCGCCAGTGTCGCATGTGGGGGATCTCAGGGTAAGCACGGAGCTCGAACCTTGCAGGCGGGTTTCTGATAAACAGCAAATATCGATCGATAGGGTCTCTAGTGTGCGGGCAAGTGCTGCCTGTTGGCCAATCTGCAGCAAAGTGCGCACGTTGAAGCATGCCAGTCTTAGCGAGACGCGAGGACTCTAAAGGGAAACGGATGAACTGACGTTGTCCGCTTGCTTCAACATGGACTTGTCAACTGGATTGGAGCGAGGCCCTGGGATTGTGTGTGATTTGAAATTAGAAGACAAGCGACTATTGAAGTAAGCTGGGGGAGGGTCAAGAATTGGGGGATTGAAAATGGGGGGGATATAAGTAAAGTTGGAGCGGGATGATAAGGATGAAGAAGCGCAAGAAGGGGTATAAGAAGACGGGAAGGCCTGAGCAGTAGCATCCATACCCCTATCCACCCTGCTCGATGCAGCAGATATGGCGCCGTTGATTATCCTCTGCGACGGCCAGAGCATCAACAAATTGTTGTAGGAAAGTTTCATTGTATTGTGTGGGCAGAATACTGTCAGGTTGCCCAGGCCTAGACAGGAGAACGACTAGGGTTCTCAACCAAAGCCTTTGGTTCAAAAACCTGACCGCAAGGCAGCGGGTTTTGGCACTGGACTACGGAGCCCGTTTTATGAAATGAGGATCCACCCCCATTCCAACTCCCAACCTGGAGGACCAGGAGGCTGAGTTTGTCTGCCCTCTAACCATTGACCAATCTGGTATGAGTGGGTCTGAAGGTGCAAAAGCACCACCCAGCATAGCTCAATGGATCTCTGAGGCACGTAAACCATCGCACCACGGTAAGGTCCAGCCTCATTGCGATGGGAAGCGGTCGACACATGTAAGAATGTATAAGAATCCGCGTGACGGAGGTAATGGACCTACCAGGTCTAAGTGTACATGCGAGAACCGAGAGTCCGGGGCAGGGAATGAATCAAGCGGACTGCGGGTGCGACGATATACTTTGGAGCGCTAGCATTGAAGGCAGGCGCGAGTCCAGGAACGAACATCTTTGTTTAAGCGTGGCCAAACGTAACCTTCGGTGACCGGTTTCAAAGGTGCAGGGATGCTAGGATGTGATAGAGTGCAGTGCGTCAAAGACTGTGCGTCTGAAGGAGATGGGCACGAGGGGCCTAAGACAACCTGTGGTGATGTCACAGAGAATGGTTCCTTCCGTGGTTTGGAGAGGAACAGGATGCACATGCGGCGAAGTAAACTGCAGAGTGCGCTGTATATCTTCGTCTTGAGCCTGAGCCGATGCCATGGCGGTAAGGTCGACGGTAGGCAAAGACTGCAGAGTGAGGTTGATGGGTGAGAGAGCGTCCGCGACGGAATTGTCGACACCTGAGACATGGCGTATGTCGGCAGTGATGAACTGCATGACAAAGTCTAGGTGTCTTGTTTCCCGTGGTGAGTATTTGTCGCAAGCAGAGTTGAAGGAGAAGATGAGGGGCTTGTCGTCAGTGTAGACCGTGATAGTGCGGCCTTCGAGTGTGTGCCGGAAGTGACGAATCGCTAGGTAAATGGCGAGCAATTCTGTCAAACGTGCTGTAGCGGGATTCCGCTGGCTGCAGGCGCTTGGAGAAGAACCCAAGGGGTTGCCATTGCCCACCAACGTGTTGTTGGATAACGGCTCCAACCACGACGTCTGAGGCATCAGTCGTAGTAGAAAGGGGCGCAGTCGATTCGGAATGAGCGCGGGGGGCTATAATGGAGATAGCATCCTTGAGCCCGGCGAAGGCTGCCTGTGCTGTGTCAGGGAAAGCGAAATTACTTTCATTTCCTCTGAGTAGATCAGTCAGTGGCTGCATGAGCTGAGCGCAGCGTGGGATGAAGCGTCGATAGTAGTTGACCAAATCACAAAATCGACGGAGGTGTTTGAACGAATTCGGAGCTGGGAAGTCCTTGATTGCTTGGATCTTATCAGGAAGGATTTCAATACCAGACGATGAGACGAGGTGTCCTAGGAATTCCACCGTTGATTTGCCGAGTTCGCACTTAGTCGGGTTGACAGTGATACCGTGGTGCGTCAAGCGCTGGAAGAGAGTTCGTAGATGCTCGAGGTGCTCTTGTTCGGGCTACTAAAGTGTCATCGAGGTAGGAAAAGGCGAAGTCTAGGCCACGAGTGACATCGTGGATGAAGCGTTGGAAGATTTGTGCGGCATTGCACAGTCTAAATAGCATCCTTAAAAATTCAAACAAACCGAAAGGAGTGATGACGGCTGTTTTAGGAATGTCATTGTCTCCCACAGGTATCTGGTGATAGGCGCGAACCAGATCGATCTTGCTGAAGATCGTCTTACCTGTGAGGCATGCGGTAAGGTCCTGCATGTGTGGGATGGGATACCTATATGGGATGGTTAGACGATTGAGTTCGCGGTAATCACCGCAAGGGCGACAGCCACCCGATTTCTTAGGGACCATCTGCAGGGGCGAGGACCAAGAGCTGTCGCAGGGGCGAATTATTCCAATTTCAAGCATGTGCTCAAAATCCGCCCTAGCTACCTTTAGTTTCTCAGGCGATAGTCGGCGTGGACGGCATGTCACCGGTGGGCCGTTTGTGCGTGTGGTGCGTGACTTGAGGTGCCACGGACAAAGTAGCGTTCATTGGCTGAACGAGCTTGGAATACTGAAAAAGGAGATTAGCGTAGTCTAGCGAGGTCTGGGGAAATGCATAGACCGGGGATATAGATGTGACATCGGCGGTGATGCCACGTACACTGAGTTTTGCTGCAGCGTCGACTATCATCTGGCGTTTCGCATCGACCAATAGGTCAAACTGCCTGAGAAAGTCAATGCCGATGATGGCAAAGGTGACTGCAGTGACAGTGAATACCCAACGGAACGTGCGCCGAAGATCCAGGTCCAGGGTATCATCATAATCATCAACAACAGCAGTACATCAGCCATTTGAACTGATGCTTCGCTGCCATACAACCATGAGGACCTATGAAATAAAGAATAAGAAGAGGGAGAGAAGAGGGACTTACCTGAAAACCTTAATGCCGTAAGCAAACATTCAGGGTCAAGGCGCCTACACCTTGTGTAGACAACATACCGTCACAAACAGCCGGCTATCGTGCAAAGATAAGGCGCTGTCTGCGAGACATCTTCCTTGCGGCTTTCATTGCCACGCGTCATAATCAGCCATTACCCCGCAGATAACTCAGCACCACACTTTAAACAGACAATCCGATTAGGAGACGGCAGCAGACGCGCCACTGGTGTCGGTTGCGAGCCATGTCCTGTAAAGTCTCGAGCCAAGCACAAGGTGAGTCACGTGGACTCCAAAAGGGAAGGCGAGATGGACCAACGGCACCCAGTTTGGTCGTCAGTGACTTCATTTCCCGCTGCCAAGTCAACTTCTGTCCACCGCGAGCCTTGCGCCATCCTACACCTGGTAGACTGAACAAGGTCCTCCTAGGTAAGCAGTGAGCAGCCATGCGTAGCACGTGCCCGAGCCAACGCAACTTATTCAGTGTTATCTGTTGTTCTAGGGAGCTAGCATGATTATCACTACCTAGTACTCGCCTACGCACATCATCGTTGCGGACACGCTGGCGCCATCCGACACCAGCAATGCTTCGCAAAACAACGATGATCAAAGACTTAAGGGCGCCTCAGATCTTCAGATCGAAGGGGCCAAGTTTCACTACCATAGAGCAGAACGGCCCTCACTGTGGCATTGTATACACGGCCTTTCAGACGGAGATGAGACCACTCTGAACAGGCTATTCAAGGTTGATTGTGCCGCCTCAACATTGTCGAAAAGCAAGACGATATCGTCCGCATAATCTAGATCAACTAACCTTTCATCAGGTAGCACTTCAACGCCTACATCGTGAAATTCCGCAAGGGAACACTCTATGATAGAATCCACGACGAAACTGAACAAAAATGGGGAAATCGGATAACTTTGACGAACGCCACTTGTAGTCGAAAAGTTATCCGATAGGACACCATAGACCCCGACGCCGCCTGTAGTGTTCGAGTATAGAACACAAAGGATGTTCACATATTTCGTGCGAACACCTTTAAGCGCAAGTAATTCGAACAGAATCGATCGATCGACTGAATCGAACGCACTCTTGAAACCGAGGAACACAGCTATTGTCGGTCTGCGGTATGCGTGGCGCTGCTCTAGCACCTGC